ACACACACACACACACACACAAACAGCCACAGACACACCTAAGTTCTACCTACCTGACACCTCCACATTGTCTCTCCCTACTCTCGATAAACCACAACCGAACAGATTAACACCCAAAGAACCAGGGAATTATCAGTACCCCTGCCTTCATTAACTGCCCATAAGCGTCTCAGGACTCGCCTCGCGACGATCTACCGGTCTATCTCCGCGCAGTTTGTACTAAGTCCGGGACTTTCCTTACGTCTCATCTTTCCCACCCACAGTTTCACCCCGGGTACTAAATCTACCACTCCGTGTAAGTGCTGGGGCGATTTTGAGGAAACGAAATATTCGTCGACCTTTTCGAAGCGTGAAGTCACTATTCGAGCCTTTCGAATTAAGTGCTCGAATGTTGTGTTTTGGTTTAAAAAAAACCCACCCTATCCGTACGCCCTGGGGTCATTTTGTACCCCCGGGGTTGTATTCTTCACATTTTAGAATACTTCTAGTATGAAAATCTCTTTAAAACTTTTAGTATTTCTCAAAAAATCATTTTGACAGACTGCTACGCAAAGCGCACGGATCGGATTAACGAGTAAATTTTCTCTTCGGAAAGTGGGGGCACAGAGTTTCCCCACGTCCTATGGATACGATAGTAAAACACGACGTATGGATATGGTTAAATTATAATTATCCATGTTTTTAAAAAACTTGTCGAGTCCACTTTTCGCTGTCTCGTAATAAAAATGTACAAAATCACCTTCAAGTGTCAGATCTGCGACAGACATCGGCGATCATAAGTCTTCATTCATTTATTCCTTTGCTCGGATTCTCTCAAACAGCTACATTATCCTGACCTTTCCCCGGCACCCATCTTGTTAGGCGCTCCAAGTAGGTTGCTCTGGGTCTACCCCTGCCTCGTTTACCCTCAATTTTTGTCAGCGAGAGCTAGATGATCCAACCCAATGTGTCTATTCAAGTATTCCAGAAACTGCATTTGTCTTTTCCTGATTGTTTTAACCAGCGAGCTTGTGATTCTTCAAGTACTACCTCATTGGATTTCTTTTAAAAAAATTTTTAGTAAGAGTTTTACGGCACTTGCAACACAATACGGTCATATAAGTGCCGAAGATAAGAAGTGTTACAAGAGAGTTTTTAGTAGCTTTAGTAGAGGTTTTACGGCGCTCGCAACTGCACAAGGTCATATGAGCGCCAGAAGATTAGAGGAGTTACAAGAGAGTAACAAACATAAAACAGAAAGAGCAGAGATCAGGACGATAGCTCTTTGATAGGAAAGAAGGAGCAAACCACACCAGAGCACCCGCCAATCACCCACTTTGATTTCTTTTCCTTCCAAGAGATTCTCAGCAGTCTCCTAAGAAACCACAATAATTGTGTTGCTTCTATTTTTATTTTCAGTCTTTGGTGAAAGTATACGATATTTATATAATGATTATCCTCAAGGTATATTATTAGAACATTGTGGTTTAACTATAAAATTCCACCTCTTTCAGCAATCACAAACTGCAGGATGTCCATGGAGAAGTCACAAAGTCACATTCACCTACTCTACTGTCCTTATCTAGCACCGTACGCTGACGAGTGACAATGCTCTTGCCCCTCGACTGCCACACACGTTCATGAGGTCTTCCACAGTCTGTGTATACAGTGTGTGTATGTGTATGTGTGTGTGTATGTGTGTGTGTGTGTGTGTGTGTGTGTGTGTGTGTGTGTGTGTGTGTTTGAGTGAGTCCGTGGATCACGCCTCTCCCTGCCCTTGTTCTCTTCTTCAATGTCAAATAGGAGGCACTCCATTACTTTTCCCGAAATAAACCGGCTAACCACAAACATACTCTGATTAATTTAATTATGTAAATGACTATGTATCCATTTATGTATTTTGTGAATTGCATTGTGTATATTATTTTATGCTCATTTCGTGACGATGTGTAAGCGTGTGCGTGTGATAAGCAAGTAGATGTGTGTGT